TGCCATATGGGTCCTGGGAATCGAACCTGGGGCCTCTGTAAGAGCAGTCAGTGCTCTTAACCACTGAGCCATCTCTCCAGTCCCATATTCTAGTTTTTTTTAAAGGAGCCTAAAATAACCTATGTAATTAATTTTTTTAAAGGCATGTGGTATTTAATAGAAGTCAAGAAGACATCTTTGCCAGGTATGGTAGTGTATGCCTTTAATCCCAACATTAGTGAGGCAGAGGCAGAGGCAGAGGGTGGGGTTGGGCTAGAGACCCTGTCTTGAAAAGAAAACAAAACAATGACATCTTTGCTTGAATATAGAAGTACTCAGAGGCTACTCACTATCCTGGTTTTCTCTGACACTCGTACTGCAAGCCAAGCCAAGAGTGAAAATACATTCCAATTAAGACACTGACCTAGTTACTAATTAGAGTATGAAGCATGAACTCAAATAGGAGTTTTAGAGCACATCACGATGTGCTTGAGCACTCACTAGAAAGTGTGCTTGCTCAAACTGTAAATTTAATTTAAAAAGTGTACTTGTGCTTATCCTGTTAGCCCTTTTGTTTTCAAGGCAGCTGGCCAAAATTAATCCAAAAAAAGACATTATAACACTATATAGTAATTGTATAGTTTTTTTTGTGTTAGCCACTTTCCATGCCTCAGTATCCTGCTTGAAAACAGAAAACACCCCTTTGATTTATCAAGTATCTTCACATTTCTTTTGGCATTTTCAAGAAACTTCCTTTTAAAGAGTATACTGGTTGAACCGGGTATGGAGGCAGAGGTAGGCAGATTTTGGTGAGTTCAAGGCCAGCCTCGTCTACAGAGTGAGTTAAAGGCCAGCTGGGGCTACAGGGAGAGCCTGTCTCAAAAAAAAAAAGAAAAAAAAAAAAAAAAAAAAGAAAAAGAGCATACTGGTTGAAAGGTAGATGAAACTAAGAGCATGTGGGCATTCATAAGTATGAGTGGGCTTTTACTCTAATGTCTCTTTGTATCCAGCAAAGTATGTCAAGGCTAAGGTGACCAATCACCAGATAAGAGTCTTTCTCTACCTCAAGGGAAAACAAAATAAAATAAAAAGTGTCAGAATTAAAATATAAAAACTTTAATATGGCTGCAATTCTGGATTTAAAATACCCAGTATTTCATAGAATTATTGGTAATCTTGTGATACAAATATTTATTACTTGGCTGGTTCTGAAAAAGATCTTACTACAAAGTACAATGTTACTTTAACTGGGACTATGAAAAGTCAGGCACAAAACAATTAATTAGTAATATAACTTGCCACACTTAGAAGACAATAACTATGAATGAGGGGTGTAGAATAGTCAGAGTGCTTACTTAGCATGCACGAGGCCCTATGTCCAATTTCTAGCACCAAAACTAGCAATACCACCCCAGCCCCACACAGACACAAAATGAAGAAAATAAATAAAATAAAATAAAAGGTAGGAAAACAGTTAAAGTAATCAGTATATTTGGAAAATCCCTAAGTAAAAAAATGTGATACAACAGACTTCAATTAATCAAGAACTTTGGTTCTGGCTGGCCATGATGGCACAATGAGCGCCTTTAATCCCAGCACTTGAAAGACAGAGACAGGCAGATCTCTATGAGTTTGAGACCAGCCTGGTCTACACAAGTTCTAGGCCAGCCAGGGCTACATAGTGAGCTTCTGTCTCCAAAAAAAACCCCACAACTTTGGTTTCTAAAGTTCTAAAAAGATATTGTTTACTACTTAATATTTGTAAGTGGTTATATGTTTGTGATTTCTTTGAAATATAACTTATTTTTTTTTAATATTTATTGAGCATGTATCTACTAGAGAAAAACAAAGATTGAAACACACCTAAGCCCTGATAGAAGACACTTTCTTTAGAGGGATGACATTTATAGAAACGGTAGGAAGGCACAAAGTAGGGGTACACACAAATGGCAGAATAAGACATGCTCATCTAAGACTGAAGAGATGGCTCAGTGGCTAAGAGCACCTGCTGCTATTGTAAAGGACCCGGATTCTATTCTCAGCACCCACATCAGGTGGCTCATAATCACCTGTAACTCCAGTTTCAGGGGTTCTGGCCTCTGTGGCATCTACATGCATGTGAAGTACATACATATGCTCAGGACACACACACACACACACACACACACGCACACAAATGAATACATCTTTAAAAAAAGACATGCTCATTTAGTTATAAAGCAGAGGTAGTTCAATGGGAAAAAGAGATTAGCTGCAGTTTGTGGGGCAAAAAAGAAGTTAGGGGTGCAGATCAGGGAAGATACTAACAATAGATTTGAAGAACAGGTGGAATTCAGACAAAAGAGGCCTTCCGTTGGGAAAAAAAATGAAAAAATGGAAAATTATTCTGAAAAAAAAATTTTTATTTTGCAGAGACAGAAGTAGATAATATAATATTATCTACATAATAGTAGATAATATAAAAGGTAAAGGTTCAAAACTCTGTTAAGTCAAACATCTAGGCCAGAGAAGCAAATATTACCAATTAAAACATCTACTATTATACTATGCACTCCGCTGATGCTCTATAAATTCTTTTATATTAGTGACCTGTGGGTCCTGGCTGTACTTCCAGATAGAATTAGAGGGTGAAACAATCTTTATTCACACTACAACTCAGTAAACTGATTTTCTCAAAAAACTTACTTTTTCAATTCTGAGTACACAAAAAGTTGAGCAATAACAAGGACTCTCACGTTCTTTTCAATTTCAACATAGAGCTGACACTGAACATCAATTTGAAATGATGTAAAAACTATGTTGTTCCATGCACAGTGACTAAATCAAAGTCTTCTAGTCCCAGCTCTGTACTGAATAAGTTGCTTTGGTGAATGTAAAATGAGGAAGCCCAACCTAGATGATCTGGAAGGTGACCCCAGCTTTAAAACCTGATACTCTTTTGACCTCACCACCACCTTTTCTACAGAGATTGCTGTGCCAGGCAACCCTTGATTAAAACAATAAGCACTGGGAAGGCAGAGGCAGGCAGATCTCTGAATTCAAAGCCAGCCTGGTCTACATAGTGAGTTCCAGGCCAGCTGGGATTACAGGAAGACCCTGTCTCAAAAAAAAGACAAAAAAAAAAAAAAAAAAGGGGGAGGCATTTTTCTGGTCAGGGTGCATGATCAGCACTGGGAAGGCAGGTGGATATCTTGTGAGTTTCAGACCAGCATGGTTGGTCTACATAGCAATCCAGTCAGGACTACAAAGTGAGACCCTGCCTCAAAAACAAAACAAAACAGGTATTTACTGTTATAAAGACAAGACTACCCTTAGACCCTTTACTGAGCTTCTACTAAAGGCCAAACTTTCTATTAGGCATTCCATTTAAGTCTCAGATCTTGAGGGGCACTTTTTTTTTCTTTTCATTTATAAAGTGTTAGCCTTTCCTCACCTGTCCAATTCAATGACACATAGAAAACAGGATTCAAATCAGGGTACGACTTGAAAGCAAGCTCTAACCTTCAAAACTTGGTGTTTCAGTTAGACAGTGCAAATACCAGACAAACTAGAGAAGAGCTGAAGTGGGCTGTGACTATGGTAATCTGGAGGGTACCTGGTTTTCCAGTAACAGTAGCTCACCGCGTTGTTGCTATGTGGGAATGGACAAGTGGAGCCAGATGCTTGGGGGAGAGGAGATCTGATTTTCAAATGAAGCAAAGTCTTGATGGCTTTCAGCTTCTACTTTAAAAAGTTCTAACCTGCTGTGGGGAATCCAACTCAGTGGTAGGGTATCTGCCTGGCATGTGTTAAGGCCTTCAATTCAATCCCCATCCCTCCTCTATCTCCAAGACTGAGAGCTTAATATTACATAATTTTCCAAATTCCCATGTAAGACCTGAAATACAGGCATCAGCAATAAGGTCTAGGCTTAGGAGAAGGCTTAGTCTATCTACATCTTAGAATTCTAGCTCTAAGACTTCAGCCAAGTGACTTTAGTTCTCTCCATTTGTGAAGTGAAAACAAAATCACCTATCTTGCACAGTGCGTGGAAGATAAAAAGATCAGCATAGTATCTAACACAGAGGAAGAGCCTGACAAATGACAGCTATTACAACCCTTCATGATCCACAAAGCTCTTCTTCATAACTATCCAAAGTTTATCGTTCCGGGGTGTGGTGGCGCACGCCTTTAATCCCGGCAGTCGGGAGGCCAGCCTGGTCTACATAGTGAGTTCCTGGACAGCTGGGGCTACAGGGAGAGCCTGTCTCAGAAAAACAAAACAAAATTAAAGAATAAAAGAACAAAAAAACCCACCAAAGTTTATCTTTAAAATGTCATAGCTGGTCAATTTTCTGTGAATCTAAAATATTTTCAAATAAAGTTTTTTGTTTTGAGACAGGGTCTCACTACAAAGCACTGCCAAATAACTTTATTTTTTAAAAAACGTGTCATCTACAGTAATTTCCAATGGACTTTAACCAAACTTCACAGTTATCCTAAACCTAAAATCAAAACTGTCAATTACTGTTTTCAGTCTCTAATAATATTTTTAAAATAATATTACAAATGTGTCACAAGGAAAGCACGAGATGAGTCCCCAGAGCGGTCTGCGAGATTCTCTACATCGTGCAAGGGTTATTGGCCCCACGACATATTTGGGTGAACCCAAAGAGGGAACTGAACTAACAGCACTAGCAAAACAATTGTCCTTCCCCTTGATGGGACAGGAGCAGGTGGCTCTGTGCCCCAAGGAATATCATTTTATTCTTAGCCACATGCCCTGGCCAACAGCTGGGTTCTAGCCTCCTTCAGCCTTCGCAGAGCAGGGTTTCAGAGTGAGGCCAGCCGGCAGGTTAAAGGGAACGAGGGAGGGGCCCCGGCAGCTCGGCCGCAGTCCCCACGGCGGGTGCTGTCACCGCAGGGCGCGCCGCCGCGGCAGCCCGGGCGTGGTGACCTCAGGACCTCCGGAGGGGAAGGAAGGCGCGCGGAGCCCAGCCATCCCGGTCCTCGCCCGGCCCCAGTCCCGCCGCTGCTCTCACCGTCTCGGCTTCGGTGTGCTGGGGTCCGGCACTCTGACCCCCCATCACCCCGCGGAGGAAATTCATCTTGCCCCTCGGACGCCGGCCTCACCAGCCCCTCAGCGAAAAGAAAAACACAGCCTCCCTCGCCCCAGGAAGGGCCTGGCCCCGGAGTCCGCGCTCCGAGCACCCCGGCCTCCGCCACCACCGCCACCCACTCAGCAGCCGCTCCAGCCCCCAGAGCCCGGAAACAGCCGCCGCCGCCAGCCGCGATGCGCATGCGCGGGGACGTGGCGTTACGTGGCGGCTCGAAGGGCGAAGGTAAAAGGGGAGAGCAGGGAGCCCTAGGTCCGCGAGGCCCCGCCCACTGCCCACCCCGGGCGCTCCCCCTCCCCCGCAGAGCCACGCCTTCCCCTACCCCCCCACCCCCGCCTTGCGCCGCTCGCTGCTGCTGGCCGCGGTCACCCACGTGGTCACAGCCCTGCCCTGTCGGCTGGGGAGGATCGGATTTGGTTACGTGTTTTGGCTTGTAGGGTGTTTAATTGTAGCTGAGCGGGACGATCTGCAAGCTATCAAACCCAAGGGCTTATTTTGTAGATCCGAAAGTGAAATTTTCCGTTGGTCGACGTGACAGGTAAGGAGGCTCCTGGCTCCTGGCCCCTGGGAGGTTTCGTTTGATTTTTCGGTTTAGCGGAACGAGCTGGTGGCCTTCGGATCCTTGTAGATTGCATTTCTTTTCAGGGCTTTGTTTGGTGGCAAAAGGGGTGCTAGAGACCTCTCACTCCACTGCCACTGGAGGGCGCGTTTCTCAGCTCTTGCTCTTCAAACCAGCCAAAAAAGAATTCCTAGATCTAAATAGCAGGTACACCGCTAATTTTCAAGTGCTGTGAGGTGGAACGCCATCGAGCCTATATTTACCTTACTCTAGTAAGAAATCAGTTGTTTCAAAGCGTCAGCTTGGTAATCAGTAACATTATGTTTTGTCGTTAACTCTCAATTACTGCATTTTCAGTGTTTCTCTTTTAAACATGCAAAAAACATAGTTCTTCCAAATCAGTTTACCTGTTGTTTTCGAAATGAGGTTGCCAGGTACACATGGTTCTAGAATAGTCTTGTAATTTCTTGAGACTGAAAAGCTGTTTAATTAGCTAACTAACTGACTCATGCGCCTCTCCGTTTCAATTCCCCATTCGTTTCAGATGCGACGTTTAATACTGGACTCATATCTTCACCAGCCTCCCTTGAAAAAAAAATCCGTATACTTCCACTGCATGCCCAGCCATGGTCCTTTATGTAAATACCTAAACCAGAAGGATGAAACTGGGAAGACTTGGGTTCCCACCCCCACATGTCTCATCAGTAGTCAAATGTATGAGTCCTATTTATTGAATATTTCTCAAACCCCTCCTCACTGCATCCTCTTTGCCTGTTGATATGACTTATAGTCTTCCTATCATTCTCACTGGGATTACAGCCTCCTCCTAACCAATTTGTCTGCATTAAGTGCTGGCTTCCCTCAGTGCACCCTCGGTGAGCCCAAGTAGAAAATATCTGTCCCTGTCAGTCCTTGTATTAAAATTCTCCAATGGAGTCAGGGTTGGTGGCGCAGGCCTGTAGTCCCAGCACTCGGTTGGCAGAGGCAGGTGGATCTCTGTGATTTCAAGGCCAGCTTGGTCTGCACAGTGAGTTCCAGGACAACTGGAGCTACAGGGAGACCCTGCCTCAAATACACAAAAATAAATAAACAAACAAATAAATAAATAAATTCTCCAGTGTTTCCCGGTCTGTGTAATAAAATCCAAACTCCTTAGTTTGGCAGGCATGCCTCTCTGGCCTCTGCCTACTTCCCAGGCTCCTGCCTCCCTTAATGAGCTCTGACCATTTTCTCTTGCCTCAGAATGTCCTTCCCTTCTTCATGTGGAAGACTTTTGCTAGTTCCTGAAGCCTCACCTCTGGCATTATCTGAACGAGTTCCTTGAAATCAAGATGCATGTCTACATGCTATCACTTTGCAGGTGTAATATGTGATGGGGACTGAATTAAATTAGCTTGCTAAGCCAAGCCTAATAACAGAACCTTGTTTGCCATTTGTGTATCTATTGCTAACCACTGTCTCATAAAAAATGATTTTGAGGATAAATGAATAAATTGTTGGGTGAATATGTGAATATTATGCTAAGGAAGGGGTTCTTTTTTCTACCTGTGAATTATAGAACACATACTTTATGGTCTATAGTGAGAGCATGTTTTAGTCCCTAAGTTTTAAACCTGGGCAACTTAGAGAGTGGCAGGCTACTACTGTCAAAAATACTGTGTGCTAAGTAGTGTCCTGCATTAAAATCCAGCGCTTGACATTTTGCTTCAGACATTTTCCATGGGGCCATTTTGTCACTGCCTAAAAAAAGTAACCAATAAATGCTAGCATTTTTAATACCAAGTAATGCCTGCAAAGAAGCTCACCCAGTCCCTCAGCTTCATCTTGCCTCTTTCCTGAAACTCATTCTATTCTGTCCTAAGGGATGAGGGTCTGATCTGAGATGGAGGGAGCTTAGAGATAGCTATTCCTTTTATTTGGTCTGAAACACAACACCTTGACATTTTAACAAAATTGTTTTGAGGTACAAGCTTTAGCAAATGTCTTGTTTTAAAATTTTGTGGGCAAGGTCATAACAGCTTATTATGACTTTTCCTTCATTTGACCCATTTTCTTCTCTAATAGCATCCCTGGGGCAGGAAGGACTATGGGCAGAAGGCATGGACACTTGGGTACAAAAGTGATGGCACCCAAGTTCCCTGGCCTTTTCCCTGCTTCTGTTTTGCTCAATACTTCCAATCTAAAGAGGAGGCAGAGAAGGTCTAATTTGTCCCCCAGTTAGAGTCTGAGGGGAGAAGCCATGACTCCATTTTTTTTTTAATATTTTATTTTTTATTTTTATTTTTATGTGTATGAATGTATTGTCTGCATGTATGTAAGTGCACCTGTGTTGTGCAACGCCTGTGGAAGTCAGAAGAAAGTGTTGAATTACCCCGGAACTGGAGTTATAGATGGTTGTTAGCTACCATGTGGGTGCTGAGAATTAAACCTGGGTCCTCTGCAAGAGCAGTCAGTGCTTTTTACTGCTGAGCCAGCTCTCCAGTCCCAACTCTATATTTTAAAAAATATTTTATTTTTATTTTATGTGTATGAGTGTGTTGCCTGCATGTATGTCAGTGCACCTGTGTTGTGCAATGCCTGTGGAGGTCAGAAGAGGGTGCCAGATACCCTGGAACTTGATGGTTGTTAGCTGCCGTATGGGTGCTGGGAACCATGAACCCAGGTTCTCTGCAAGAGCAGCCAGTGCTCTTAACCACTGAACCATCTCTTCAACCCCTATGATTCCATATTTAGGAAGAAGGTTATCATTAATCCATTAACACTGGTATTTTTAGAGACAAGTTAGGCACCGTGTGTTCTTCCTGTTTGTACTCTTTCATATGTCAGAATTCTCCAGCATGGTAGTTTCTTAAGAACCATTTGTGAAAGCAAGAGAAACCATGAAAACATTGTGATTTCCTGGCTTCTTCTTCTTCTGACTCTTGTAAGTCTAAAATTCAGCATAAGCATGCTACGTATCAGTAAAATACCCATAATCTAGAATTTCAAGATGAAAATAATTTTCTGTTTCCGAACCCAAACCTAACAACAGCATCTAATAAAATTCATTTGTTTGAAATCAATATTTTGTTAAAATTAATTCTTTCAGTGGCTGACTTTGCCAATCCTTTTTTATTTTCTCATGGAAAACTCAGCAAAAACAATGAAATATCATTGCACAAGATTGTTTTATAAGTGGAAGGTGGTGTGGTGGGGAAATGTTGGTCCATACCTTCTTAGGGAGATGAGTAGAAGTGATCATTTGTGTTTAAAGTACATCACATTCAGATTTTTAAAAAAATTTTTAATAACCACATGATTAGAAGAAGCATTTCATTACAGAGATTTAACATATTCAGTAACACATTCCAGAGCAAGAGCACATCTCTTTCAGAAGCAGGTGCAAGTTTCTAGATTCACAATTCAGTTAATACAGTTATACAATATTGAACTCAGTATAAGCCCTGTAAGACATAAAATTGAATGAGTTTTTTAACCTTTAAAAAAATGTCCATTTCATTTTAGAATATATTGTTCCTTGCAGAAAGACTCATTGTTTTTGCTACTAACACTGAGATGTTGGTGAATGCATCTCTAATCTGTATGCATCTGATTATTACTAGTCATAATCGGTTGCACTTGGATCTTTGGCACTGTGTATGTCTATAAAGTCATTGGGTAGATTTCACATTCAGATTTTTAAAGCCTACTTACTGGTAAATCAATGTCCCAAGACATTATTAATACAACTATTCATTACTGTCCATTTACCAAACAACATACAGCAAAATAAATTGATGAGGCAGCTGTCAAACGTCATGACTAATCAATAATAACAATGTCAAGTACATATAGCTTTTATTTGCTAAGCTCTGTTCAAAATGCTTTACATAAAATAATTTACTTGGGCTGGAGATATAGTTCTTAGAAAGTTTGCTTGTGGGAGGGAGGCTGGAGAGATGGCTCTGTAGTTAAGAGCACTGACTGTTCTTTCAGAAGACCCAGGTTCGATGCCCAGCACCCACATGGCAGCTAACAACTGTCATAACTCCAGTTCCAAGAAACTCAACATCCTCTTCTGACCTCTATGGACATTGTACAACATGAGTGCACTTACATGCAGGCAAGACACTCATACATAAAATAAAAATAAAGTTTAAAAAAAAGGAAAAAAAGCTTGCTTAGAGCTAGAAATGTAGTTCAAGTTGGTAGAGTGCTTGCCTAGCATGTGTGAAGTCCTGGGTTTGATCCCCAATACCACATTACCTCAAGGAAGCAATGGCAAGCAGATCAGAAGTTCAAGATACCTAGGAAGTTTGATTATACCCTGCCTGAAAACAAAACGCACCCCCCCACACACAAGCTTGCATAACAGTTATGATACCCTTAGGTTCAATCCTCAGTACCACAATAATAATGCTGATAATAATAATCTTCAGTTTATTATTGTTTGTTTGGATATTTTGTTTTAGTTTGGGTTAGTTTTTGAGAGGGGGCCTCATTTTGTAGCACTGGCCAGCCTGGAACTGGATGTGTAGACCAAGCTAGCCTCAAACTCACAAAGATCTGCCTGTCTCTGCCACCCAGTGCTGGGATTAAAGGCACATTCCACCACATCTGGCCTTTGTTATATTATTTTGAGCCAGGATTTTACTTACTCTGTAGCTCAAGTTAGTCTTG